AAAGAGAAAAGTTTTTTTTTATTAACTTGGACATGGGAATTGAAGAGTTAAACTAACAAAAATCTATCTTAACCGTTATAGTTTTCCTTAAAAGTTCATGAAAAGCACTATTATCATGATTTCAAGGCAACAGTTTAGCTTTTAGGCGGGGGTGGGGGGGGGGGGGGGAAAGATTTACAGTAGACATCGCGTTTGTGTAAACAAGAACAACTCATTTACAATTTCAATCAGTGGTTATGTTAATAATTTAATCTATAGGTACGTTTACCCCACGTGATATATACATATGGAACTTAAAAGTACACTATTAAGATGGTATTTATAGATAAGGAACTTAAATTTAAAATTAAATGTTGATCATAAAATAATGCCTACTTGTATTAGGTGTGATTTTTCACCATATCTTCTTCTATCTTAAATAATTGTGACGACGCTATCACTTGGTACCGGTTGGCATCAAATGATAGCACGAATTAAAGTTAAGTATATGATTGTGTCGTATCTAAATATATAATTTACGCCATGATTTAAAGATACAGATTTTTTAACAAACTTGGCTTACAATGGATAAGTAATTACTAAAAATATGAAGTCAATTTAACCCAAAATCGATACTTCTTACTCTTTCTTTCGGTATAACTTACGAGTATATTTTTACTAGCTTCTGCCCAGGACTTAGTCCGCGTTAGAGTTAATTTTTACCCGGCTGCGCAATGCAAGAGCGCGAAGCGCGGCGGGCAGACAGGGTTATGTGTTTAACAGTCTATATATGTATGTTTGTTCCTTTGTGGCACACTAGAGACCAAAAGCCTGGACCGTTTTTGATGATTCATACATCAATCGATTCGTTTCAATCACGGGAGTGCTACTAAACATATGATAGTAATCAAAATTCAATATGGGCAAAATTAGGCGCCATATTGTGACGAAATAAAAAAAATAAGTTGACAAAATATGTCGAGTGGGGTATCACTGTCTAGATAATCAAAAATCATATTTAGGTTCCTAACACCATTTTTCATTTTATATGATTGTTTAGGATCTACAACTTTAAAGTTGTATATTAACCACTTACGCTTTTAATTTCAATCTTACGTTTGTATAGATCTTTGTTACTCTTTCACCTCAAAAATACTGAATGGATTTTAATGAAACTCAACAGTAATATAGCTCATATACGATAATTACATATATATAATAATTGAGTCGTATAGTATCAAAGGCGGCAAAGTAGTGCGAACCAAATATTTGGCAAATCAAAAAAAACTGTTTAGTCTCGTCTTTAAGGGAGGATTTTTATAATTGATATTCATGATAACTACAAATCGTAGTGAAATGTCAATATTTTAACAGACTAAACAGTTTTTCTTGATTTGCCAAATATTTGGTTCGCCCTACTTTGCCGCCGTTGATACTATACGACTCAATTTATGTAGTTATTGAAAGAATTGGCCAATATTTAACAATAAGTGTCACATAAGACGGACAAAAATCTCCCATCTGCGAGCCATTTTAGCCTGCACTTCAAAAACAATAAAAGTTACATGAATATAATGTAAAGTGAAAATGTATCTCTTAAATAGTTCTAAAAAAAAGTCCGTGACACCATATATCTATTTTTAATGTGTAAGCCATTACCGCTAAAATAGTGAATCAAAACTAAAATATTATTTGATATCTATTTCCTAAATGCACATTTTGTATTAACAAATCATTTTTTATGAAAAAAACAAATACTTTTATCGCTTTTGATATTTAAAGACGATAAACTTTGCTTTTTACACAATGTCATTTCGACAAATATTTAAAAAGTTACAACGATGACAAAGTGATAGCGCGGTGTACTATGTAAAAGAAAAAAAATTGGGGTATTCGCAGTATCTGATCCTATAGGAAGTACTAACAATAAAACTGTGATACAGTTCCTTCTTATTAAATGATGAAAAATATATTATCATAATAGGTATTTATGATTATTGAATTTTAATAAAAAACTCAGAATTTTCCTGTTTTTTATTTTTTTTAACGATATTACTTAATGTTACAAAAAAGGTTTACTTAATATATAATGACAAATAACCCATTTTTCGCTAGTAAGTACATACTTATTGGAATCCCTGTATTTATTAATCAGCTCGCGATAATATTGGTTTTGTAATAATTCTGCAAAATTCAAAGTAAATAATGTAGATTTTTATAGGTAAATCACCCCTTTCATCACCCTACGCCTATAAGTATTGCGATGTTGTAGCAAAGAACCAAGTTCCCATCTACTTCTATATGGGAATTCATTTTTTGGAAAATTTGGAAAATAATTGCCATGATTGCACTACTGGGAGTACTTTTCATTCGAGCTTTACACTACCAATAAAAAAGGGTCGAACACAAAGTCTTTGACCTGTTAAAAGTGAATGCTTTAAAAGAAAACTACAAAGAGAACTATAAATTGATAATAAATGAGATTGCTATGGTGCTCTACCTAACGTTATGAAAATTTTATTATGCGCCTTTAGTTTATTCAAATATTATAAACTTTGCTTTGGTGATTGCATAATTATTTAATTTAGTGGTCTAAGGCAGTTGCCACCATTGTCCAAAACAACAGACGGGAATTACTGCTTTCTTCAACCTGCGACATAAACGTCATTGATTGGTATTGTATATAGGGTGATTAAAAACATTTGCAGTTAACTTCTGGCATCTACATATTGGGTTTCTGTGAATTATGTAGGTATATCAAATTATGAGACTAGGGACTGACACTGAATTTGTGTATATCACAATCTTAGACGTCCGGCATTGACATGACAATGCAGCCACTGCCAATTTTAAATAGTCGACGAATAAAAGTAAATGAATTTTATATTTACTCCTTAACTATTAAAAAAAAACATAAAAAAAACATTAACAAAAGATGACTTTTTGAGTAAGTGCTAGTTTACTATAAAATTTACATACATAAGAGATATTTATGTAACGACTTGATTTAACTTCACACATTTTTGCGAAAATTGAGGCCCATCTGTAGCCTTGACCCCGCTGGTAAAGTCTTAGTGGTAAAGTCAAAGTCATAAAAGACATATAAGTCTTAATAAATCAATCTTTCAGACCGACGCAAGGTACTTAATAATTCCCGCGATATTAATTCCCTTACTGAAGTAACAAGACTACGGTATATACCGTCTTAAAATACTAACTAACCAAAAAGAGTGAAATAAAAAAGGTAAATTTAAAAAATCAAAAAACCCGACTGCTTAATTATACTTCAAATAAAAACTGAAAAGAAAAAACCAAGTCCAGTAGTCTATAATTCTGTTAATAAGGGACAAAGCTACTTTAACAGTCGGGACCCACTGTTGAAAAATATTATGTATTCTTGAATATCTAATGGGTCCCGACTGTTAAAGTAGCTTTGTTCCTTATTAACAGAATTATAGACTACTGGACTTGTTTTTTTCTTTTCAGTTTTTATTTGAAGTATAATTATTGATAATCATACAGGTAACTGATTTTTTTACTTTTTACTAGAGAAAAAGTATAAAATGTCTCAAACCAGCTCATATTTGCCTTATTACAAAAGGTTGACTGAATTTAAACCATATTTGCCCCTTACAACAGTACGGCTTTATGCCCAGAACTATTTAAAACTTATTTTTTTTGTAAATTTTGTATATGTTAATGCTAATTAGGTCTTTATTGACATATTAACTACTTTTATGAAGGTACCTTTTTTTTAATTGTTCGAAAACGAAACATCGTGCATTTTCACTACATTTACTGTGAGTAAATAAACAACGGTATTTGTTATATTTATTATTATTTATAAAAAGAGAAATCACATTATAAAATATTCATATATATCTCAGTATTATAATTTCGGATTGAAGGAAGAAATAATTTCAAAAACCCTTGTAGAAGAATCGCCGCTTATCAATGCCGTACTTTTGAAGTAAAGTTCGAAGAATACTACGTCGAAAATCCAACGTGTCAACATCATTGCTAACTTCTAGTGCGACTAGTTTGGTAGGTAGGTACGTTGAAAGCGGAAGATCATCATCTTCTTAAAACTCCCTGTCATCATTATTAACACCGTGAACCAGTTGGACAGGTCCCAGAAGTTATCTTCCTGATAACTTCTCAAAGCTTACACTTGTCTCTTAGAGTACATAAACAAACATTGTTTTTCATATCCTTGAAATGAAAAATCCTCGAAATAAAGGTCACTTTGGCCGTAACTAATGACTTAAAGCAAAACATTAAATTACTGTCTGAAATCTTACTATGTATATTCAATTACAATAGTTCAAATTATAAATTTCAGACTAGTTGCTTGTGTGTATTCTACATGCTCTCATCGTGGTTGTTCCGAGGAATTTTTACAGTTAATGCCTACAGTACCATTTTACCACCGCACCACCCGTCACTAGATTCGAATTCACCTATATTACCTGAAAACATTGAAGTCCACAACTGTTCGTTCGTTTCAGAGATCTTTTATTCCACGAATATAAATAAATTCATGGAATGAGAGATTCATAAATCTTTAAGAGAGGCTTAAATACAGTGTTTCACGAAAGGCAGTGGCATGGCTGTGTTACTAGCATGGCTGATGTGACCACCTAACTTCAGGCCCGTCATCTCGTCTGCTATCTAGGCAATAAAAAAAAACATACTACATACTATATTATAAAACACTGCAATCCAAATGAAATCTTCCATAACCAATTTATCTTGCTAATCTTAAAAAATGTAGTAAAGAAAAACGTATGTGATAGTTGATTATTTCAAGGAATGAATTTTGAAACATTTAAGGCTTGACTAGCCACCCGCGCTATACTTCGGACGATTGCAATGTATAATATGCATGTATTATAAATGGCAATCGTCCTTTTGAATCTATTGCTGAAAACTGCATTTCAATCCGTTACGTAACTTAAAAGATCTTAGCGTACAGGCAACGCACGGAAAAGCGTAGCGTTAAAGAAAATATTGTTTCGCAGACAAATTCAGCAGATACTGGACGATGACTCTGAGCCGGCCGTAGGCGAGGAGCGTCTGGCCGCGCTCACGGCAGGCGAGCGCTCCCACTGGGCGCACATCCGACAGACCGCCTTCAACCGCGGCCATAACAGGACCTCTCTACACTGCATCGAGCGAGCGGCGTTCAACGTGTGCCTGGGTAAGTTACCCGATACTGGACGACGACTCCGGGCTAGGCCGAGGGCGAGCAGCGCTCCCACTGGGCGCACATCCGACAGGCCGCCTTCGACCGCGGACGCAACAGGACCTCGCTACACTGCATCGAGCTAGCGGCGTTCAACGTGTGCCTGGTTAAGTTACCTGATACTGGACGACGACTCCGGGCCGGGCCGAGGGTGAGCAGCGCTCCCACTGGGCGCACATCCGACAGACCGCCTTCGACCGCGGACGCAGCAGTACCCTTAGCACGAACCAATATCGAATGCAAATAATATGCGAGAGCGAAATGCCATGTTTATATTTTGTATGGAACTTGAACAGCAGCGTCCTCACCCGCCGACAATGACATTTCGCACTCACTTCTTCTTTCTTCTTTTCTTTGTTCTTCTAATTTTCCCATTTATACATGGGTATACTTTTGCTAAATAGCATGGGTAAGTTGAGAATTTTTAAGGTTCCATAGTCTTGACAAGGAATCCTTATAATTTTGTCACATTCGTCTGTCCGTCCCCGGTTTTGCTTGGAGAGTGTTAGCACTAGAAAGCTGTAATTTTGTATAGATATGTATATCAAACACGCCGACAAAATAGTTGAATAATATTTTAATATTTTGAAAAATATTTTCTTATAGTATTAATTTAATTTATATTTTTTATATTTTTTCATGTCCCCTTCATGTAACCTGGCATGATTTTTTTTTCATCGTCTACCCTATCACGTGGGTTATTGATAAGTAATTTAAAATTAGTCCTTTAAAATTACGTACGAGTTCCTGAGACTATGTATCGATCTAGGGCTCCGTTTGCGAAATATTTAACTTTAAAGTGCTAATTTTTGTTCAATTGGGGCCTTTCCCCTTTTAAAAGCTAAACTATTGGCTTGATAACCTGGATAAATGATAGATATTAGAATTCATGATAGTAGTGCTTTACATGAACTTTTTAGGAAAATTATATCGGTAAAGATAGGTTTGTTAGTTTAAGAGTTATAGTCTTTCAACTTTTGGAAATTCCTAAGAAAGAAACATTAATAGTGACGTAGATGAAGTTATTGTAGCGTAAAACCTTTCATTGAACAACAAAATCTTCCGCGTCCAGCAGTGGTCAAGCGCCGTATCTGGCATTATGGGTCGGCAGATTGGGACGGTATGCGTGACTACTTTGCGTCCGTCCCCTGGAAGCAGCGCTGCTTCAGTGACAGGGACCTATCGGCCAGTGCCGTTGCCATTACTGAGGAGATTATAATGGGTATGGAATACTATATTCTTCATTCTGATCTCATCAGTAAGGGCACGCGTAACCTCTGGTTCAATCACGACTGTGCTGAAGCTGCTTCGCGTAAGCAAGCGGCATATCGTGCTTGGATCAGAGGCCGCGCTCTCAAGGATCCCGAGGTCGATTCACTCAAAGCAGCCTACAATTTTGCTTCCAAGGCCAATAAGAAGGCTTACATTAGAGCGGATGCCCAGCGCGTTGCACGTGTTGGCCAGGAACTTATGACGCATCCTACGGGCTCCCGTAGCTACTGGCGTCTGGCCAAGGCCGTGCAAAAAAACTTCTGCGAGCCCTCGCTGCCACCTCTGAGATGCCCAGACGGAACACTAGCCCATAAGCCGCAGGAGAAAGCCGATTTACTGGCAAAACTCTTTGCGGCTAACTCCCGAATCGATGATTGCAATGCACTGCCACCATCATTACCTCACTGTGGCACAACGATGCCTGATATTAAAATCAGGCAGCGCGAGGTTCGTGCCGAATTGCAATCACTCGACGTCCGGAAAGCTAGTGGACCTGATGGCATCCCAGCAGTAGTACTCAAAAAATGTGCAGCGGAGTTGTCTCCCGTGCTCACGCGCTTGTACCAATGCTCGTATTCTTTGGGGCGTGTGCCGGAGACTTGGAGAGATGCCAATGTGCAACCGGTGCCCAAAAAAGGGGATCGCTCAGACCCGGCAAACTACCGGCCAATAGCAGTCACCTCAGTTTTATGTAAAGTTTTAGAAAAGGTCCTTAATAACCATCTGACCCGCTACCTAGAGGATCACTCCTTGATTAATGATCGTCAATATGGTTTTAGACCGAAACGATCGACGGGTGATCTTCTAGCGTACTTAACTCACATCTGGGGTGAGGCTATCGACAAGCGTGGCGAGTCGTTGGCTATCAGCCTTGACATTGCCAAGGCGTTTGACAGGGTCTGGCACAAAAGCCTTCTCTCCAAGCTTCCGGCATACGGTCTGCCAGCCCAGTTCTGTTCTTGGGTAGCTGACTTCCTGCATGAGCGTAGAATTCGTGTCCTTACGGATGGTAGCAGTTCGCGGTTCATGTCAGTGAATGCCGGCGTTCCCCAGGGCTCCGTCCTATCCCCCACTCTCTTTCTGCTGCATATCAATGACTTAATTCCTCTTGGGAATATTCATTGCTATGCAGACTATAGTACAGTGCATGCGGGGTATCTCGGACAAGCAACGGCTGGGCTGGCGGTAACCAAGGAGAAACGCGAGAATCTTGTCATTGAACTCAATCAGGCTTTGGACCACATTTCCGAATGGGGTACCAGGAACTTGGTTGAGTTCAATGCCAAAAAAACTCAGGCTTGCGCTTTCACGGCAAAAACATCGTCATTCCTTCCCCTTCCATCTCTTCAGGGCACAACACTACCGCTGCAGAGCAACATTTCCATGCTCGGTATGGAAGTTCGCTCAGACCTGAATCCAAAGAACTACATCGAAACCGTTATCAAAACAGCTTCACGCAAACTCGGAGTCCTGAACAAGGTGCGGCGTTTTTTCACGCCCGATCAACTGTGCTTGTTGTACAAAACGCAAGTGCGGTCCTGCGTGGAATATTGCTCGCACCTCTGGGATGGCTCCGCCAAGTACTTGCTCGATGCTTTGGATAGGTTACAGCGACGCGCGATCCGCATCATAGGCGATGAGGAGGTGACTAAACACCTTGAGCCTCTTCAATTACGCCGTGACGTGGCGTCACTAAGCGCGTTCTATCGTCTGTACCACGGCGAGTGTTCTGAGGAGTTATTCTCTCTTATCCCACCTTCTCCTTTCCTTCAGAGGACCACGCGCGCTGGCCTACGTTGTCATCGTCTAACTGTGGCCACAATTCCAACGCGTACAAAGAAATTTGGTGACTCATTTCTTTGTCGCACTATCCGTAAATGGAATGCTCTGCCCGCTCACGTGTTCCCTCCCTCTTACAACCTGGGATCCTTTAAAAGAGGCGTGAAGAAGCAACATGCAGGCCGGCAGGGTGAGGATGGCTGGTGTGGCAGGTAAAACTGCTGTATCAGCTATCGTCACGTCTGGACTTCACCTTCACTTAACATCAGGTGGGGTGGAGTCATTTGTCGGACCTATCTATAAAAAAAAAAAAAAAAACAAAATCTAAAAAAGACTATTTAAAACCATAATTAAATATCTTTAGTTCCACAAATCTTCCGTGAGTACCAACCGCAACGGCTTCTGAACCGCGCTATCGGTACATTTTTATAAAGAGGTTATAAGCACTTGAAAAGATTGGTTTCTTATTTAAAAACATGTTGAATATCGAATTGATTTTGAGTTTGAGCCGCAGTTTAACTTTGATTTAGGTATTTTAGTTAAGATACATAGTTTGATATTATAACAATAACAAAAGAACAGAATACGAAACAAGGCAAAGCAATTACAGTTGCACAGAGGGCGGTCTTATCGATTTCTTCCAGACTACGACCATGAGATGAGCTGCAAAAATATAAAGCGAGAAAAAATTATAATAAGGGAGGTTGACGAGGTTATACGCAGCTCAAGTAATAAATTATTGAACGGCGAATGGATCAAATAGGTTAAAAATAAAAGCAAACATATAAACACTGACTGACAAACACTGACATTCACACACTTCACAATATAATGCAACAGTCGGTATGTACTAACGTAGCAATATTTAATGAGAATGATGCTCATCTGAACTAACTAGGGATTTGAAACCAGCTAGTTTGGGCACGCCTATTTTTTTCCGGCAGATAATTCCATAGTTGGAAAGCACGTATGGTAAAGGACTGGCTATACGCCTTCGAAAAGTTGGGAGGTGTGAAAATAATAGTCCAGTCAATGTAGGCTTAACTTTGCCATTTTCAGTTGATCACCTGCAACCAACGCGAAAATTTCCGCAGGGGTTCGTAGATTAATATACTAAAATTGCAGGGCGCTGCATTGACGGCAAAGGGTGAAAAAAAAATGCGAAATGGTGCAAAAACGAGTTTTTCCTCAATATCTCGCGACTGGCTGGAAAAATAGAAAAAGTTCCTAGTACAAAGTTGTAGAAAATTTAATTTCCTACAAAAAAGGTATCTACATATTTTCCCGTATCTCCTATAGTTTTTGCACAAAATGCAATTAAAGGTGCAAAATAAAAAAAGAAAATATATTGTTAATGGTTTTTTTTCCATTTTTAAACGATCCTACGGGTCAAATTCAACAATCACCACTTACTGAAATATTTAAGGATGAGTTTTCGGCAGTCCACTGAAATGAAAATTGTCTACCGAAATGGTTAAAAAAATTACCACCAAAATGATACAGCCAAGAACATCGCCTTTGTAGTAGAAGGGTTACCTATTTTGAATTTAAATAAATTTCCTTATTCTTTGTAAATATTTTTGTTCATTATTTTTTAATAAGAATTATTAATGAAGAATTAATTAATTGTTACTCCTATTAAATATTATTACTAATTATAATTATTAATATGTACATTTTCAAAATAACGAACAAAGCGCGTTTAGAAAGCGAGAAGTTTATTAGTTAGTAAATCGTCCCCTTAGTGCCAAAACCGATTATCTGCACTTTTATAATACCAATCGACCCGTCTCATTAAGCTGCATCTACAGGTAAAACCCACTATGCTCTACGACGCATACTTCCTGAAATAGCTAATAAATAAACAAAATAACTGCAAATTATTTCCAAAATTCTTGATTTAA